AGGGGGGTTTCTCCTGAAGTCCACTATCATCTCCACTGTTTTGAGCGTGTTGAGCTCCAGATTGTTGAGACTGCACCAGACAGCCAGCTCTTTAACCTCCTTTCTGTAAGCAAACTTGTGGTGTCGTCTGCAAACTTCAGGAGCTTGACAGAGGGGCCACCAAAACCAAAAAAGCCACAAGGCATTCAAACAATATGAGTGTTAACATGGTTTCATTGTAAAAATAATAATTCACTAGCCTTTTTTTGTGCAGCCCTACTTCCATTGTAAGTGCCTCACTGTAACTTCAATTTTTGCTTTGATTAAAGAAAATGAGGGACAAGCTGAAATAAAGATTTTGTGGTAATCAACATAATGCCACCAATATTATCAATATACCAGTAACTAAATATCGAAATTTTGTTCTACCACTACATTTGAGTCTAATTGTCCTGTTGTTGTTTGTTCCAGACGAGCCCGTTTTAAACGCTCCAATAGCGTGACAGCAAGTGTCCAGGCTGATCTTGAGACGGAGGGTTTTGGTGGGCTGACGGTCCCCACTCAAGACAAGGGCCTGCAGTTCGGTTGCTCATTCCAGCGCCACTCGTCCGAACCGGAATCAGCCGGTCAGTTTGCAGAGTATCGCACAGTGCACACACAGGGCCAGTGGGCCTACCGTGAGGATTACCACAGCGGTTACACCAACGAGCCTGGCCCTCCAGAACTGAGGGCCCTGCCCCGCTCCCACTCCCCTCTGCCCCTGGCCCCTGAGCGTGGAGTGGGAGGCTGGAGCGAGGGCCCGAGGAGCCTCCCTGATTCGGGCCGAGCCTCGCCCTGCTTACGAGATGGAGAGTTCTTCCTCCGGCTCCTGCAGACAGAAGTGGAGAGGATGGAGGGATGGTGCCAGAACATGGAGAGAGAGGCAGAGATGAATGAACTGCCGGAAGACGGTGAGTGAGGAATAGCAGAAGAGATGATTGGAGTAAACATGACATGGGCTAAAAGGCCCAAAACATGAGTTTTCTCTGATTTCATGGGGTCTTGAATCTGTAGTGTTTTGCCCACTTAACAGTTCCTTCTGTCTAAATGCTGTTTTTTTCCCCTTCTGATTGGTTTGTTTTGTGGTTCAGTGTTGGAGCTCATCAGAGGAGCTGTCGGCAGTGCTCAGATGCTCATGTCACAAAGAGTCCAGCAGTTCTTCAGGATGTGCCAACAGAGTGTAGTGAGTGTTTTGAAACTCTTTCTGTTGTGGATAAAAGGGAGGATACCTTCATATGACCTACACTGTAAAAAAAAAAAATACAATGATACAGTTATCTACTTTAACTACAAAAATCTGCTTTTTACCTTCAAATGTACTGATAACCTATTAACCTCCATAATAATACAGGTGGTAAAACAAAAAGCCACATGACATGTTAGAGTTCATCATAAATTTGACTATTTTATAGTAAAATTACATATACGTTAGTGCTGTCAAACGATTAATCGCGATTAATCTCATCCAAAATAAAAGTTTTTCTCTGCATATGTGTGTGTACTGTATATATTTATTATGTATATATAAATACACACACATGCATGTATATATTTCAGAAAAATATGTTATGTTTAAATATTAGATATATTTATTTATAATATAAATTATATGAATATAAATATAAATATAAAATATATAGTGTATGTATGTGTATTTATATATACATAATAAATATACACAGAACACACACATATATTATGCAAGCAAAAAAAAATTAGTTTGTTTAATCGCTATTAATCGCGTTTAATCGTTTGACAGCACTAATATACATACATATAATGTTCAACCATTTACAGTTTTTAACTGTATACATTATATAAGATTTCCTTTGGATTTTGGATTATTCCAAAAAATAAGCTCTGCGACTAAGAAAAGTTTATGATTCTTACATGTTTCATTCATCATGATAATTTTTACAAATGAACACAACTTTAATTAATTTGGAAGCTTAAATACAATCTCCAGAAGTAAAAAGCTAAATGTAGACTATAAACAAACTACACCACGGTCACATGACATCAGCGTCACCACCATTAAGCTTCCAACAAGTGAGAACGTCTCGGTTACGTATGGTAACCCTAGTTCCCTGAAGGAGGGAACGGAGACGGCACGTCAGATGACCGA